TCTCTGTTGCAGTTCTGTCCCCAGCCCTGGTCAGGGTCGAGTGGGAGGCAACCAATTGGTGTGTCTCTCTCTCCTCCTCCCATTCTATCTGAAGATAAATGGAAAAAACAAAAACATATCCTTGGGTGAGGTTTTTTTTTTTAAAGAAATTACAGAAAGCTGGGAAAACACATCACAAGTACACCTTTCCCTGTGACATTCACAAATTTCCTCCCTTTGTCACCTCCCAACCTTGAGCCCATCCACAGACACAAGACACCCATTCAACAAGCACTTATTAAGCTCTTTCTAAGGCGTCACAGACAGAGTGTCCACCATCAGGGAGTTCTCAATACTTTGTTCAGTCTTTGGTCCCTGACCAGACTGAGACAATGTGACCCGATGGGGACAGCCCCGCTGCCCCTACTCAATAAACAGCAACCAGCCCTGGCCTGTTTGGCTCAGCAGTAGAGTGTAGGCCCTCGGACCGATGAGTCATGGGTTCAATTCCAGTGAGGGGCATGTACCTCGTTTGCAGTTCGTCCCCTGCCCTGGTCGGAGTCATGCAGGAGGCAACCAGTTGACGTGTCCCTCTCATGCTGATGTTTCTCCCTTTTTCCCTCTCTCTTCCTCTCTCTCCCTCTCATTCTATCTGAAGATAAATAGAAAAATATCCTCAGGTGAGGATTAAAAATAAAAGTAAAAAAATAAAATAAAATAAATAGCAACCAGAGGAGTGTCCTAAAACATATTTCTCCTATGTCCCTTCCCTGCTTATACTCTTCCATGGCTCCCTATTTCTCTGAAGGCAAAGACCAACGGGCCAACCTTGGCCTATATCACTGGTTCTTAACACTGGTTCTGACACCCACTTTATGTAACATTTCAAAATGTCCCTTTAGGATTCTGAAATTAAACTCATAGGTAATATGGCCCACCAACACCAATTTTGTTTTCAAAAATGTACATCCTGTCCTAACTGAACTGACTATAGTGGAGAAATTTGTAATAAAGTAATCATCTATTTTTGCATATAAATGTTCAGGCACAGCTGCTCTAAAAAAAATCTCACCAGGCAGATACTAACATCTGTGTGTAGACTCACCATGAATGAGATAAGAATAAACTGTGTTGTTTGGACAATTACCACAATCAGCGTTGCCTGCGGTAACGTGACTTCTAGAAATAGTGAATAACTCTGGATAAAATTCCCAGCAACCAAGAACAGGCAGGGCCCAATGTACGCAGCTGAATTCCAGGAAAAGTCAGTGCATCTTAAGCACTCAGTGTTTATACGTAAAACACAGCTAGGTTCTGGACTCGGCTAATCATAATCGAGGCTTTTCTACCTACATAGGCTTTTCTACCTACATGGTGTCCAGTGGGACACTGGGAAGTTAAGTGGGGCCTGGGACAGGTCCTGGTCGTGTGGACTGTTGAGACACCTGGCATCCCTGGTCCCTGTCCGTTAAAGCCAGTCACACCATCCAGCTGGTGTGGCTCAGTGGTTGAGCATCAACCCATGTACCAAGAGGTCGCCGGTTCGATTCCTGGTCAGGGCACATGCCCAGGTTGTGGGCCTCATCCCCAGTGGGGGGCATGCAGGAGGCGGCCAACTGATGTTCTCTCTCATCGATATTTCTATATATCTCTCTCCCTAAAATCAATAAAGGGGAAAAAAATTTTAAAAATAAATAAATAAAACAAAAATAAAAATAAAGCCAGTCATACCTCCAATCACTGTGACAAACCCAAAATGTCCCCACCATTTCCAAATCGTTCCCCAGAGGGAGATCCACATCCCAGCCTCGTCCTGGGGCCCCTCGCTCCGTTCTGGCCACTCCAGCCCCTCGCTGTCCCTAAACTTCAGGCCTCCACAGCTTGTGTTCCTCTTCCTGGAAGATTCTTCTTTGTGGTCTCACCTTCCGGGTCACGCCCCCCAGCCCAGCTTCTCTCAGAGCAACCTGTCTGCACACAGTCGGGGGTTACAGTCTTGTTTTCTCGCTTGCTGGCTGTTCCCGGGGTGAACTGGTTGCTCATGAAACAGGCACAGGTAGCTGAGGTGACTGCTGGGTTTCTGGTGCCCCACATAGGGGACCGCAATGACTGTGTTGGGTGGTCAAGGTGGCCACTGGAGATCCTTGGTGGAGGAAAAATTCCTTGAAGTGACCTGGTCTGGAGGCAAGACTTTGCTTGGTGCTAAAGGTCAGGAAAGGTGGGAACAACGCACAGGGCCGAGGCCGGGCATTCTAAGTGAGACTGGGCCATGCCGAGGCCTCCAGCTGCTTCTAAGATCAATTCCCAGTGTTTTTGGACCCAGGCCTGGGGTGAATCCCAACTCTGTCATTGCCCTACTGTGTGACCTTGAGTACATTCCTTAACCTCTCTGAGGTTCACGGCCTTCTTTGTAAATTGGAAATGATAGTGCCTAACTCCTTGAGTGGTTATGAGGCTCAAATCATGTTTATAAAACACTGAGCCCCTTTCAGTCCGGCCGGCGTCAGTGCTGAGCCTCTGGGTCTCTGTGCCATCCACTGTGCCACCAAGACAGAACGGGCCAGCTCCTCTGCCAAGGAGTTCTGGCCGGAGGCATCACTGCTGCCATCTCCAAGAGGGCCATGTCACCCCCTACCTCCCACCCACGTTCGAGCAGGTCGAGCTTCTGCCTCAGGTACAACATGCCAGCAGGCACATCGTGGCTGGCAAACAGTACAAGGGCATCGTGGACGGCATCGTGCGCATTCCCACGGAGCCTAGCATGCTGTCCTGGAATGAACCAGGCCAACATCATCCGCTACCTCCCCGCACAAGCCCTCAACTTCGCCTTCAAGTATCAATACAAGCAGGTCTCCTGGGGACGTGGACGAGCACATGCAGTTCTGGAGGTATTTCTCTGGCAACCTGGTCTCTGGTGGGTGGCAACAAAGCCACCTCCCTCCGCTTCGTCTACCCCCTGGATTTTGCCAGATCCCATCTAGCAGCGATATGGGGAAACTTGGAACCGAGCGGGAGTTCATGGGCCTGGGAGACTGTCTGGTGAAAATTACCAAATCTGATGGCATCTGGGACCTGTAGCCAGGCTTCAACGTCTTGGTGCAGGGCATTCTCATCCACCAGGCTGCCTACTTCGGCGTGTACGACACGGCCAAAGGCATGCTCTGGACCCCAAGAACATTCACATCGTGGTGAGCCGGATGCCGCCCGGACGGTGACGGCTGTGGCAGGCCTGGCCTCCTACCCCTTCGACACTGTGCACAGCAGATGGTGATGCAGTCGGGGCACAAAGGAGCCAACATCATTACAGGGGGACCATCACCTGCTGGCCGAAGATCTCCAAGGATGAGGGGCACAAGGCCTTCTTCAAAAGCACCTGGTCCAAAGTCCTCAGGAGTATGGGCAGCGCCTTTATGCTGGTCTATCAGCTGGGTGTGTCCCTCGCCTGAACAAGGGGACCAGGAGAGCCACATAGAAGTCTTCACTGCTATGGACCATTCGTCTTCCAGAAATTCCAATGTTCTTGCCTGGCCCTATCCTGTATAGAGCCTGGGGAGGGCTCTAGAAGGGCTCACTGTGATCACAGCCACTGGCATCCTGATTCCATGCACTGACTGGGGGGAGGGGAATTCTGCCGGCCTCCTGGGTCCACAGGCCGGGCTGCTGCACCATGGAGGCCTAGAGCTTGAGTTTATTTATTTATTTTTTTTATCTTCGCCCGAGGACATTTTTTCATTTTTTGTTCAGATAGAGCGGGAGGAAGAGAGAGAGAGAGAAACATCGACGTGAAAGGAACACATCGAGTGGCTGCCACCCGCACAACCCAATCAGGGCCGGGGACAAACTGCCACCGAGGTACGTGCCCTTAGCGGGAACCGAACCCAGGTCTCTCTGGACCGCAGGTCGGCGCTCTAACCGCTGAGCAAAACCAGCCAGGGCTGTATTTAGTGTTTATTCAAAGGAAATCATGTGCGGGGCCAGTGTGGCTCAGTGGATTGAGCATTGTCCCATGCACCAGGAGGTCACCGATTCCCCACCAGGGCACATGCCCAGGCTGGATCCCCAGTGCGGGGCGTGCAGGAGGCAACTGATTGATATTTCTCACATCGATGTTTCTATCTCTCTCCCTCTCCCTCTTAAAAAAAAAAATCAATACAAACAAATTTAAAAAAGTAAAGGTAATCATTTTGCCCATTTGTACTTAAGCACTCTCCTCTCTGCACAGCTGAATAGTTACAATTACGTTCTCTGTTGGATATACTTCTGCTGCAAACAATTAAAACGACACACAGAGATTAAAAAGCAAAAACAAAAACATTGAACACGGCGGTGTGCCCTCAATAAATATTTGTTAAGTGGGTCCTAGTTCAGGACATAAGAAATAAGGTTTTAATTTAAGAGAGGAGCGGGAGCCCTTGCTTCGGGGTACCATGAGCCTGGGTTAGAGCCCCAGCTCCGTCCCTGGCAGGATGTGTGTCTCTGGGCCAATGAGTTTCCCTCTCTGAGCTTCCAATGTTTGTCCAGAAAATGGGGTCCGAACTGTATCTCCCACGTGGACCTGTTGTGAGGGTTAAATCAGGTCATGTAGGTAACTGTCCGGCTCACAGTCAGGGGCTGTTACTATTATTAGGTATGGCTCTGGAGTACACGGAGGGAGCAGGCCTCCAGCCTTGGAATAAGGGAGGAGGGGGGTGAAAGACATTTGCTTTATTGAAAGGACAGGGAAACTGAGGCCCAGGGAAGGGAAGGGCCTTTCCAGAGGTCATAAAGCAGCTTGGAGACAGAGCAAAGACTGGAGACACAGGGAACAGCCTCCCTCCCCATCTCTGTGGGGGATTAAAGTCAGGCGGGAGTAATGGGCAGGGAGTGGGCCCTTTAAATCCTAAGCTCCACCTTTGTTTAGAAGGGTCTTTGGGGAGTATAAAAGGGGGTGCAGCTCCTTTCTGCTCCAGAAAACCATCCGCTGCTCCTGCCGCTGGCCCCTAGCCCCCACCTCTCCAGCAGCCTACAGTCCCCACCTGGGCGCCATGCAGCTGCCACCCTTCGACATGTGGAGGGACTACTTCAACCTGAGCCAGGTAGTGTTGGCACTGATCCAGAGTCGAGGGCAAAGGCCAGAGGCCCAAGATATCGGGGAGCCAAGACCCGAGCCCCAGCTAGGGCAGGACCCTGGGCTGGGAGGGCTGGAGGCCAGCGGAGGCCTGGCCACCCTGTGCAATTTCTGCAAGCACAACGGAGAGTCTCGCCACGTCTACTCCTCACATCAGCTGAAGACACCAGAGGGCGTGGTGGTGTGTCCCATCCTGCGGCACTACGTGTGTCCCCTGTGCGGGGCCACCGGTGGCCAGGCCCACACCCTCAAGTACTGCCCGCTCAATGGTGGCCATCAGTCTCTCTACCGCCGCAGTGGGCGCAATTCAGCTGGCCGCAAGGTCAAGCGCTGAGGGCTGTGAGGTGCCCCCCTGCACCCCTAACCAGCATGGTTAAGTCCCTACTAAGTTCCTGGACCCTCCACCCTGACTCACCCAGCCCTTGGAACTTCTGGTCCCCAGAACTCTAGCCCTGATGGATCCTGAAACAATGGTGGCTGCCGGGGAGCCAGGCCAGCCCGGTTCCCGGGACCTCTCAGCCTTTGGGGTTCTGTCCTGCGGGCGTCTGTGGATTCTTGGTGCAGCAGGACCTCTGCCCCTTGGACCACACAGCCCTGTGGCTCCTCCTGGGCCACAGCTCATGGATCGTTAGCCCTTCTGGGGCCCACTGGCGACACCAGCCCTGCCCCTGGGGCCTCTCAGCCCCTGGACTCCATTCCTCGTGGAATTCTTGGACCCTGGGGCCCCCAGGACCCGCCCGGCTCTCCCAGGCAGAATTTGTAAAGTGAACAAGACGGGCTTGTCTCCAGCACAAGAACTTCAAGATGGGAATGTGACTTGCGACCAGCCTTGTCCACCTTCTAAAGCCACCTGCAGACCCGCGGTTTCATCGCCAACCACATGGATGGTCCCCTCCCCGTCTGCAGCCCATGCATCAGGCGCTAGGGGAGGGAGGGGATACACTGCGGGACACGGGGTCCCCGCAGGCTTGTCTGGGGGTGGAGAGCCTTGAGGTGAGCAGATACCCTCCAACCCCTCCTGGTTGTGTCTCCCCATGTTCGCTGTTCATTCGTTTTACTGCGCTCCTGCCCCCAACGGGAGATCTCCGAGGGGTCCCTTCCCCCAGCGAGGGCGAGAGGGTGAGAGGCGCCTCTCCGCCACCTCCCACCACCTCCCACTACCCCCCACCAAATCACCACAGTCTTAAAGGTCATTTTTTTTCTCTCCCGTTTTGTTTTGTTTTTTCCACTCTGCAACAGTTAAGTCAACAAAGTGCCCGGACGGGAATGGCAACTGCCTTTTATTTTAAGGGGCAAAGCAGAGCCCCAGTCAGATTTTAAGTTGGTTTTGGCTCCCGGCTGGGCCCCCATGTTGCCCTCTGGTAAATAAAGAGCGGTTCTGGTTATCTTTGAAATTGCTTTGTCTGTGTCTTCTCACCTGGCCCACGCCCCACCCCCACCCCGCCTCCTGCCCTGCTGGTGGGGAGAAGGGACGGCATGCGCCCCAACACCCGCGGAGTGGGAGGCGGAGGAGGGGTCCTGGGTTCCTCTCAGGATGTGCCCCTCATGTATCCTCCGACACAGATCACCCGTGGACTGGCCCTCCTATCCCAGCTTCCCCCTTGACCCCAGATTCCTCTTCCATCCTTCCGGCTCTTTCCAGGGGTCCCCCTCCTGCCCTGCTAGACCACAGGTCTTCCAGAACCAACTTTATGGTAATTCTTAAACTTTGGGTACCAGACCCCATTGCAGAGGTGATGAAAAGCCTGGTTCACCTAAAATGTTGTATATAGTATCAAGGCTTCTTTTATCCCCTTGGTCCACGAATATGTATTATGCACGTACTTTGTGCCAGGCACCCGCCTAGGCATTGGCAGGTACAACTTGTGAGCAAAGCAGGCAAGACCCCTGCCCTCTGGAAGCTGACGTTCTAGTGGGGAAGGGGGTATGCTGGCCATCAACCAATATATAATGTCAGGGGGTGGTGTTCTGAAGGAAAAGAAGGCAAGTAAAGGGATGGAGATTGTGCAGGAGAGGCTGCTATGTGCGGGCTTCTCTGTGCAGGTGACATTTGAGCAGAGTCCAAATAAAACGAGGAAAGTGGAGAAGATCTGGGGTTAGGGCGTCCCAGGCAGAGGGGCAGCAAGTTCAAAGGCCCTGAGGTGGAACTGAATCTGGTGTGTTTGCGGAATAAGCAGGAGGCCAGCTGAGTGAGAGAGAAGATCACAGAGGCAAAAGGAGTGGGCAGAGTTCAGCATCGTGCAGACCCTGCTGAGACTTTGACTTTCACTGCGCAGTCTCACACTCGGAAATCCACCTGGACTGTCCTCATGTACACTCGTTACGCAGAGAACCAAAGACCCAGTTGGAGCTCTGCTCACAGGTGCTTTTCCAAAAACACAGCTCTGCCCATGGCAGCGACCCCCAAATTAAGCCAAACGGTAGCAAAAAGGGATGCCCCAACCCTGAAACTTCAGTGTGCAGCTGTAGTGCTGAGACCTGCACAGGGGGAAGGGGGTGGGGCTGCACCAGGCAGGAAGCTGACAGCCCGTCCAATGGGGTGACAGAAGAGAGTTTGCTAGTAATAAAGGCACCCAAGTGTGGCAAAATACGGGCAGCAGTCATAGAAAGCAACCAGCACACTCAATACTTGAAGGGACTAGGCCGGGTGGAGGGGTGCCCGTGAGACCCGGAGGAGTTATAGAAGATGCTGAGGTCGGTCTGGGGCGTGGAGGATATGAAGTGCCTGGGGACACAAGGTGAAGTGGCAAGAGGCTGCTGGACACCTGGGTCTGGGGTTCAAAGGAGAGGGCTAGAGACAAACAGTAGTCACCAGGTTTTGGGTTGTTTTTTCTTAATGTTTTTATTGCTTTTAGAGAGGAAGGGAGAGGGACAGAGAGAAACATCGATGTGAGGGAGAAACGATTGGTTGCCTCCGGTACATACCCTGACCGGGGATCAAACCTGCAACCTGGGCAGCATATGCCCTGACCGGGAATCAAACCAGTGACCTTTCAGTGCAGTGCATGGGATGATGATAACAAACTGATCCACACCTGCCAGGGCTGTTTTTATTGTTTGTTTGTTTGTTTGTTTTTAATCCTCACCCAAGGACATTTTACCATTTTTTGTTCAGGTAGAGTGGGAGGGAGAGAGAGGAACAGAGAGAGAAAGAAACATTGATGCGAAAGGGACACATCGAGTGGCTGCCACCCGCACGACCAACCAGGGCCGGGGACAAACTGCAACCGAGGTACGTGCCCTTAGCGGGAACCGAACCCTGGTCTCTCTAGACCGCAGGCCGGCGCTCTAACCGCTGAGCCAAACCGGCCAGGGCTTGTTTGTTTGCTTTTTAAATGAATTAAGCCATTTATTTTACAGAGAATTAAGTGGCAGGGTAGCTGGCAGGAGCTGAGGACACCACAGGGCCTGAGGGCACAATGGACCCTGCACTGCTCCACACACGGCTCCCTCCCTGCGACCTTCTCAGGACCCCCACCCCATGTGGACCCAACTCCCCGCTCAGCCCAGACTCTCCGGGGCCACAGCATCCTGGCTGCCTCCCCGGGACACCCAGGGGAAGGGAGGCGCCTAGGTGTCGCCCAGGTACCTGGCCCCGGTCTCAGTTGGGAATAGAGGGTATTATGGGTTGACTCCGTCCTCTCCGAAGAGATATGCTGAAGTCCTATCCCTCGGGGCTTCAGAATGTGACCTCATTTAGAGATGTCATTAGTTAAGATGAGGTCATACTGGAATTGAGCTGGCCCTTAATCCAACATGAGTGGTGTCCTTATAACAAGAGCAGAGAGACACTCAGAGGGAAAACAGGTAGAGATCGGAGTGATGCTACCACAAGCCAAGGAAGGCCCTGGGCTGCCAGAAGCTGGAAGGGGCAGGAAGGATCCTCCCCTAGAGCCACGGTGGGGGAGGCGGGTAGCAGACCTACCATCTAATTTCAGATTTCCAGAACTGTGAGAGAATGCATTTCTGTTTGTTTGTTTGTTTGTTTTTTCTCTCAATTATTTTCAGAGCGAAAGGAAGAGGGGAGAAAGAAAGAAACATCCATGTGAGAGAGAAACATCAACTGGCTGCCTCTCATATGCACTCCGACCAGGGATTGAACCCAAGACCTGGGTCTGGGCCCCAACCAGGCATCGAAGGCGTGACCTTCAGTGTTCTGAACAACGCTCCAAGCAACTGAGCTGCCAGCCAGGGCCATTTCTCTTGTTTTAAGCCACCCCGTCGTGGGGATTGTCATGGCAGCCCTTGGAAATGAATCCGCTGGGCACTGGGGATGTTGTTGGCACCTCCAGAGTCTGGGCCGAGGGACGATCTGGGTCTAAATCAGGTCTGGAGCCGATGAGAAGCCTGGAGCCAATCTGGGTCTAAATCAAGTCTGGAGCTGATGAGAAGCCTGGAGCCGGGGAGCCACGGGCAGAGGTGAGTGGAGGAGGGGTGCTGGAGAGCTGCTCAGACTCTGGCACCTCCCCATCCCCCTAGGGCCCCTCCCACGGACCAGAGACTAGGGAGCTGATGGATGGACAGCAGCCTCCTGGGCTGGCAGCAGGCTGACGGTCAGGATGGGCATTACCGGCTACCACCGACTTCTGCTCAGGGGCCTCGTGCGCCCACTCTGTGCATTCTAGAACAGAACAGAGGGCGAGACAGAGGCTGGACATCATGCAGAGAAACAAATGCTTAAGAGTGACCCCCTCCCTCCTCCCTCCAGCACCACTTTGGGAAAAGGAGGGGGAGGGGCAGTGTTCTACGCCCACGAAGAACCAGGGAAGAAGAATTGGGTCCATAACATATCGCCCTAAAACCCCAGAGCTCCCACTGTGCCCTGAAGTGCACAAGGCTAAGGCTGACTCCCTGAACCTCCCCTTCCCACCGTGGTCACCGTGCCTACCATCTCGTGGGACTTGGAAGTTGAATCTGTCAGCACCTGTCAGGGTACAGGAGTCCTGGTGTGTTGTGACCATAGGTCAGAGCTGATTTCCAATGTTGACCAGAATCTGGGCCATTCTGGAGAATTTTATACAAACAACGGGAGAAGGTGGCTCCATTAACCAAAGTCTCTTTGATTTTAATCTGTATTGAGCATGTTGAGAGATGACTTGTAGGTTTAGCTTTTTTGTTTCTCCCTTTGTCTTTCAGTCCGTCCCTTTTGTCTCCTTCCTTCCTTCTCTCCCTCCCTCCTTCCTTTACCCTTTCTTCCTTCTCCTCCCTCCCTCCCTTCTCCTGCAGTCATTGGAAGGCAGACCTTTCTCCCAGACTCCACTCTCATCATACACAACTGCCTGAGAAATGTCCACTTGGATGTCTCATCATGTCCAAAAGGGAAGTCACACACCC